TCATAACTGTGCCATATCGTATTGCATTTATTTCTTCATTTTACATCTTCTTTCTATTGCTCGTCTCTCCGGAGCAAGAAGTCGTTTGAGGGTTGTAGAATTTCGACGATGCTGTGACCTTTGTCTATTTGTGTTCCAGCTGTTTGAGGAGCTTGTGAGACGATAAATTCAGCGACTTAAAGTCCTATCTGATCTTCTCGACTTTTTTTTCCAGATGCATTGTTCGTATAGGGCTGGCATGTCAGCAAGCTCCAGGGCTGCGCTCTCTATGAGACTTTATACCACAGAGCAAAACTTTGTCAGATACCACTTTTTTCAAAGAGGAGAGCAGCTTACCTCCACACATAGGGGAGGTCCCAGTGTGATACTGATGATGCCCTTGATGCGACATTCTTGCTCTGTTTTCTTCGTTCCTCCTTTTCACAGTATGATGTCTGGCCTTCAGCCTTGGGCTCTGCCTCAAGGCTCTCTCCTATTTCTTCTTTCAGGGCTTTTTCTTGTGGTTTTTGTTGACAGGAATTGCCTCACAGTCCTGCTTTTATATTGTACGGCACACCCTTGGGTGTATTGAAATAAATAAATAAATTATTCATATACTAAACTAAATTACATGATGGATCGAGGGGATGGGGCAAGTCGTCCGACGCCGATGCGATGGGCGCTAACTACAGAGTTGGATGAACGAGGTAAGACAGCAGCAGCCCAAATGTCGTTAGCCAACGCATTTTATAGGTGTCCAATATAACGTCCGTATCTTGACTGGCAGGCAGGCCTGGCCTGGCAGTTCGGGTAGCAAGAATACAACGTCTCCATTCCTTACAGTAAACTAGTCCTCGAGCTCTGATAAACTCTCAAGCGGTACTGTACGTCATCGAAAAGGGATATAGAGAGTTGAGGAAAACAGTTATATCGAATTCGTATCTTAGAACATCGGACCGCCACTTGACCGTTTACTAGTGTGAAAGAGACAGGTGGCAAATGGCTTTGAGCAGGAGCAGTGAGGAAATACAAAAACAGCCGTTCTCATGAGAGCTCTCGCCACACTTTTGAGAAAAGGGCTCGACCCCGAGACGAAAGAGGATGGAGGTTATATGGATAAACGTCGAAATGACGTCGTTGGATGTGTCATAGGGTCAACATGCGTATGGAATTTTAACGAATTGGTTGCAGTGGTGATCGCTAAACTTATGAATTATTTTTATACACTGTGATGATTGCTACTGCTCTCAAAATAACAATAAAGTAGTAAGGCAATGCGAGTTAGACTATTTTTTTGTTTGAATGTGGTAAGTTACAGCTGAATAAGGCAATATAATAAGACTTAGACATCAGAACTAGAAATAATGTGCTTTAGATAAAGTCTATGACAATCACGATAGCAACACGAGTAATTTTACTTTCGGACTGGTATATTAATTGGGAAATGAATATCATTCTGTGCATACTTAGGTTCGACTAATATATGGATATGATTGAAATACTGCGAAGCGAATAGTAGTCCGCTGAGAGCGACTAGTGTAAGGGCATATTGTTTTTCTCGGTTTTAGGACCGAATACGCTGCGTGTGGTCTCCTTGAACCTCCTATTCAGAGAGTTTTTGAAAGCTTCGCGGCGTTGCCATCTGGAGATCGTCTGTGACGACTTATAAGGAGGATTACTGTTGCTCATCTTTACATCTTTATAATTCATCGTCGAAAATACGTAATCCCTGGGATGATAAAAGCGCCTGGTCATTAGCTGTGCATACCATCTGATGCTTCTTTAGCTACTGGCACATGGGCTTGTTGTGTTGTGTTAACTATTAAGCATTAGCTGGCGTGGAACGAGGAGATCAGTGCTCAAGGAGATGAATCAAAAAAAACCGATATGTAGCGTTGAAGGTGCTCTTAAGAAAAATATTACTATTTTCACGTTCTCTGAATGTGGTATTCATCAGAGTAAGCTGTTACAGTTCCAAAAGTATTCAAGAAAATTAGGACGACCAGAAACAACTGTGATCATAGGACTTCTGTCTCTATTGGTATTTGTCAGAAAACATTTTCTGAGGTAGTGCTCCGCCTGACTAGCACTGTAAAGCATCACGGCATAGGTTCTAACACTTGATAATTGAAATGCACTGGTAAGCAAAAACTTTCTGGAGACTCAGGCGTGTTACCGTAATCCAGACCTCGAAGGCCACCCTGAAATGTGTTTACATGGGATTGGGAAATGTGTTTATTGGGTGATGGATTGACAACGACCAGCCTTTGAGACAGTTGCCGAAACCCAAACCTCATAGTTCATCACTGAGACAGGTCTTCCCGGGCGATGGACTGGCAATGAACAGCCGGCGAGAGGCTGCTAACTATTAATGGTCGTAACTGTTATTGCATTGCACATGTAGGCCACTCCCTGATGCTTCAGCTCGGGCCGACCTGCAATGATCGACCGTAACGAGAGGTTGACTTCGTTTATAGCTGCTGAGCGGCGAATAGTAAAGACCAGCTTATTTGTAGAGTATGAACTGGGGTTTTCCCTCAAAGCGAAGGGTCTCGAATACGATACGAAGTGATTGATAACAGTCTGCCTGATCTGCTCCATTTATGTGGTTCTCGACCTTGTCTGATGACTTCTATTGGCATAAATATGTGAAAACTGAATTATCATTAGCTATAACTCGCAGAATTTCCCTACCTTCCGAACTAGTTCCTAAACCAGTAGTTCAAATATAGGTCGTTGTCGTACGAAGCAATGACTAGCGGTCATTTTCTGCCTTCTGTAAGAGACGTAAAATAAAGCATATCATACATTAAGGGTTTGTGATTAGGGTTTTTTTTGAATTTTTTCTCTTTTCAAGGTACTTGCTCCATAACGCCG